TTTTTTTTTCACAATACATCATGGCTTCCATGTGGCATATCTTCCTTTCTATGTATCATAAAACATCTAAAACAGAACCAAAATAGCCTTCCTTTTAAGATGTTTTCATATCTGTTCTTTCAAAGTATTGCTTTTTCCTCCAGTAGTAGGTTGAATTCAATAACGACACCTCATGAACAGTCAGCACTTGCTGAGATCACACGTGGGGATCAGGAGTGTGTGCCCTTCTCCCCTGAAGATGTTTATGTCTTCCCAGAGCTTGGTTGTGACTGTGAGGATGGGGCCTTTTGTCCATTCATTCGTTCTGTTCACTGCTACCTCCCCAGCTTTGAGAGCAGGTGCTTCATAAACATTTGTTGAACAAACGAACAACACAGACATATGCTCAAGACCCAGGATGGCTCCAGAGGACTCAGTAGGCTCTGCTGCATATTGTGCGGGTACCAGTACAGGCTTCCGGGACCTGGGTGTCACTGCAGGGTTGGGAATCTAAGGAGAGGCTCCACGTAGGAGGGGGCAGGGTATTAGAAGACCCAGGGTGCTCAGGGTTAGCAGAACATGTTGTCAGGCTGTGAGGCCCAGTGGGTGCAGTGGCAGGAAGAGGCTGGTGTCAGGCTGGGCCTGTGTCCAGAAGGGCCTTATGGGACAGGCCGGGGGCTGGGCTCTGACACTGCAGCCCCTGAGCTGGTGGGGAGGACCTGAACGGGATGTAACAGGAGCAGAGCCATGCTTCACACACCATCCTGGTGACAGCTTGGGAGGACTGGATGTAGCCTCCAGAAAGCCTCCTTACCAGACCCTACCACTTGGGGTTGACGAGCTTGGACTTACTAGAACGCTAACTTTTGAAAAGTGTGTGAAAATGATGAGAAATTTGCATTTAATAGTTTTTATGCTTGAGCAGCATTTATTCCATTAAAACATCTGTTCAAATCATGTTGATAGCAGCTGTTTTTATCTTAAAGGGCCAGACAGTATTTTCAGCTTTCTGGTGACAGTGTCTGCTGAGAGTAGCCACAGAATGGAATGACAGGCACTTGGATGTTTTTCTGTGTCTTCATGAAAGTTGTGAAATCAAGCACCTGCTCTGGCAGATTGGAGACCTTAATGTTTCATTCGGTTTGCTGGTACTGTCTAATTTATGTTGAGTCACCTTTCTTACTGCAGGTAAAAGTTGACCACAGCAAGAGGCACACATCTCAGCCGGATCTCAGTGAGTCTGGGTGTGTACACTTGTGAGATCACAACAGATTGTTTTTCCTGTTCTTAATTTTTGTATAAATGGAGTCATTTTGTATTTAGCTTGTTTGTGTAACACATTGTGTTTGAGATTTTATTGCTTGTGTCAGTATGTCCTCCTTTTTTACTGATGAGTAGTGTTCTGTATAGATTAGACCAGAAATGATCATTTCCCCTGTTGATGGGCATGTGTGTGGTTTACTTTTCTTAGAGCTGATGTTGTCCACTTCACACAAGACATCCCCTCTGCCCCACCCCACTGCTCCTCTGTGCAAAGGGCCACATAAACCCCACCAGCCAAGCCTGGGAATTCTGCTCCCAGCAGTCCTGTGGGGTGGTGGTGGTGGTTTTTTTTTTTTAACAGAAAGGAAAAAATATCATCTATTACCTACATGCTTCCCGAAATGGGAAGCCTGTGGCCTTTGTTCCTTCTAAAGATACTGGTTTCTCTCTGGTGTTGTTTGCCCTCTGTCCAGGTAGCTCTCACTGGTGTTTCTTGTATTTTAGGTTTTGTTATGGGTTTTGTCATGGGTTCTCTTAGTCTCTGTTGGAAAATGTTTTCATTTCAGCCTTTGCTTCTGAGTGATGTTTTTGCTGGAAACAGAATTCTGGCCTGACAGGTGTTTTGTCTCTGCACCTTCACTTTGGGTGGGTGCTACTGCCTTCTGGTTCCTGTGACCTCCGATGAGGAGAGTTGAGATCATGGCCCACTGCTCTGTAACATGTCCGTTCACTCTTGAGCTCTGGTTTTCAGCAGTATGACTAGTGGGTCTTGGCATGTTCTCTCCGTATTAATTTGTGCTCTGCAGCCAGGGGACCTTACAGTGGGCCTGTGTTGCCTGTTCCCCTCACACTGCTCCAGGGCATCTGAGCTCATCTGCCTCAGCCACCACTCCCTGCCCAGCCCCCAGTGTGCATGTGAATACTTCTGAACCCTGTGATCTTGGAGAAGGGTAAATACCCTTTGCCCTTCGAGACAGATGTGTGTCCTGTGAGTAGAGTCCCTGTCATTGGCACCCAAGCAGAGCGCATTGGAATTGGTCTTTGTCAGTTGGGCAACAGTTGCACTGTTGCTGTGCCAGAGTCCATACCTACCAAGGTGATGGAAGGGACTTCTTCTTCCGGGCCAGTTTGTACTTCGTCTCAGGGGAGAAGCTTGTAAAGGAGGGGTGTCACTTCCCTGTCCTTTGGTAGACACTGCGGCTGGTGATTGGGGGGCAGGTGTGTGGTGCTGAACTGTGGCTTGTTTTGACATGCTCGTCCTCTGCCCATCCAAATGTCTGGTACCCTGAACATGCTGAGCGAGTGGTGTCTGGAGCTTGGGAGACCTGAGAACACTCACATGCTCCCAGCTGGGGTGCTGTGCCCCCTGGGAGTCCTGGGACTGCATGGTGACAGTGGCATTGGATTTGTCTTGTTGGTTTAAATTTTCCCGCTTGCCGGCTGGTGGCTTTCCAGGCAAGTTGCCAGAGCTGACAGTGCGTAAACCGTGATTGGAAGTAAGCAGGCAGGATGGCAGCGAGCACTCTAGATGGTTTCTGTAAAAAATGCTGTCACCTAGTCCACAGCTTTTCCAGCAATTTTTTTGTGGGAGTAGGGGTGGGGGTGCAATGCTCTTGCTGCTGTCTGGCCTAATTGCTTCGTGTTGTGACGAATTTCTTTGAATTTCACCGTCTCGATTGGAAATGCATATTCATAATGTTTCTTGCCCACATCTTCATTTTGCATTTATGCCAAGTTAACTTTGAGGACTAAAAAAGAGTCACAGTTGCTCACGCCTACACTTGCTCACAGCACACAAATGTAAGCCCATTCACAAAACCCAACTTCCCTAAAATGACTCACAAGAGAGCCATGACTTGACCCCTGGGGCAAGGGGTATGCCTGTTGCTGTCCTTAGATCTGGTATCTGGGTGCACACTTGTGCCCATTCTCTTAGACACAGTGTGTTTTCATGCCTCAGAGGCAGAAACTTGCAACGTGATGGTGGAGACTGTAGATTTCAGGCCCATAAGACAAGTATTTACTGGCTTGCCCTTTACAAAAAAGCTCGCATGCCAACTCTAGAGTGATGATAATCCTTTGACAAATAGCACTGAGCAAGCCTTGACGTTCAAGTCTGTTCTGACTTTTACTAGTACCCAGCTTGCTCTTTTCTGATGTTTGACTACTTGGCTGAGACAATTAAATTAGGCTTGAGCTGTCCAGACTCATTGCTGTGCTGTCAGTGATTGTATTCAAATATAAGGTTATTTAATCCCTTACTCTCATTGTTTGTGATGCCAACTCTAATGATTCAAAATTGAGTTGGAGGGAGTCCATGCAAGGATGTTCTTGGGTTCTTAGGAGGATTTGCAGTTGACTGGACCCTGGTTGTCAGGATCCTTCATTTACGGCCCTTTGATTGGCTCACAGCCAAAAACACATCCCCAAATGGACAGCTTGCTCTTGAGCACAGATCAGAAAGGGCACTGTAGGGACTGCTGGAGCCTTGCTTATTGTTAACATACGGAGACAGGCCCACACCCCTAGGGCTGAAGGCCCTGAGGACCGAGAAGGCTGAGTGCTCAGTGCACGCGTCAGCCCAGCACGCGGAAGTTGTGTGTCCTGGAAGTGAGTCATGACAGGCGCCTCAAGTTCGTGCAGTGCAGAAAAGCCTACAGAAGAACATGATTTCAAAAAACAATAGTATGGGAATAGTGATAGACAACGAAGTCTTTTATTTTTTAAAGTATTTATTTGCTTTCTATTTTTTGGCTATGCTGGGTCTTCGTGGCTGTGCATGGGCTTTCTCTAGTTGCAGTGCACAAGGGCTACTCATCTTATCAGAGCATAGGCTCTAGACACATGGGCTTCAGTCGTTGTGGCTCTTGGTCTCTAGAGCAAGGGCTCAATAGCTGTGGCTCACCGGTTTAGTTGCTCCACAGTATGTGGAATCTGCCTGGATCAGGGATTGAACCTGTGTCCCCTGCATTGGCAGGTGGATTCCCATACACTATACCCACTGGGAAAGTCCAGGAAGAAATATTTTAACCTCTGCTCCCTGATGCTTCTGAGAAACAACCAGATCACCAGACACATTCTGAAGATATTCACATCGTCTTTGAAGCAGAGGTGTTTGTTCCAGTTTTCCTTGAATTCGGCAAATGAGATGGAGGTGATACCAATGAAATTGCTGCTCCCTCACCTTTACCCAGGGGCAACCATGGGGCTGCCGCACTGTATCCTCACCCACCATGCGGTCCAGGAGGTTCACAGTAGGCCTGTTGCTGCTCCTCAGTTGGGTCCTTGCATTTCTGTGCATTTGTCACTTGCCTGCAGACCTGTCACCCTGGCTTCCCGTCTTGACTGGCTGGGTTTTATCACCAACTTGTTTTTTTGGAAGCTCTTGGTTCCCAACAGTCTTGATCTGTGTGAGCATGAGCCTGCTCTTCTGTGGGAAGAACCTGCCTGGTGGTGCCAGTGTCTACTGTGAAGGTCCTGCCCTACCCCAACACACTCCGGTGCTGAGCATCACAGGGGCTCTAGCTCCCGGTTGGGGAGGGGAAGCTGTGGGTACCAGGGACTCAGAACGTGGAACCTGGTTTTTAATCCCTGGGTTTGAAGAGATGTGTTTATTTTTTTACTAATATTTTTATTTAATTATTTACTTGGCTGGGTTTCAAGAGGTGTATTTATTATTAAACAAATATTGGCCTTTAAAATTTGGATATAGTTGCTGGCAGTTCATTGAAGTTAAGAAATCTAATTCTAAGGTTTTAAAAGTCAGTGGTCCCGTTGCCATGGCTTCCAGTGGGGCCGGCGTTACCGCTGCGGGCTCAGCAAATGAAGCTCCCGAAATTCCAGACAACGTGGGGGACTGGCTTCGGGGCGTCTACCGCTTCGCCACCGACAGGAATGACTTCCGGAGGAACTTGATTCTTAATTTGGGACTCTTTGCTGCTGGAGTTTGGTTGGCCAGAAATTTGAGTGACATTGACCTAATGGCACCTCAGCCTGGGGTCTAGCCTGTGAAGACACGTGGAACCCGTGCTGTACTCGAACCCTTCAAAAACAGCCTCCAGTCTGTGACCATCACAAGACTTGCCCTGCTGGCCGCTGAAGGTTGATCCAGAGGGCACCTTCCCTTCCCTGCCTGCCTGCCTTCTCTTTGCTGAGTCCACTCAGGACACCCTTCTCTGGTCAGCAGGCAGCCTTCAGCTAAAGTGTTCTTCTGTTCTGTAAAATGCTGTACATAGTTCCTAAGTTCTGCAGGGGATTATCTTTGCTCTTGTCCTGAGGAATAATCTAATGGTATTTTAACAAATAAAGCGTGTACACAAAGACAAAAAAAAAAAGTCAGTGGTTGGTCTGTACGTGTGAAGAGGCAGGTGATGAACCACAGAGACTGGCTTACCCTAAGTAATCCACATGTATGTTGTGTTTCCTTGGGGTGGTTTTGTTGTAGACCAGGAAATGCTGCCACTTGGTGCAGGAACATGGAGGTCTCAGGCATAAGTGGTGCTGGGGAGTCTTGACTTAGAAGCTAAAGTTTCACAGGGAGTTCTTGTCAGTCACATTAAGTAGCTGGCACCTCTTAAAACTCAACACTCAAAAAACTATCATGGCATCCGGTCCCATCACTTCATGGCAAATAAATGGGGAAAAAAATGAAAACAGTGACAGACTTTATTTTCTTGGGCTCCAAAATCACTGTGAATGGTGACTGCAACCGTGAAATTAAAAGATGCTTGCTTCTTGGAAGAAAAGCTGTGACAAACCTAGATGGCATATTCAAAAGCAGAGACATCACTTTGCCAACAAAGGTCTGTCTAGTCAAAGCTATGGTTTTTCTAATAGTTATGTATGGATGTGAGAGTTGGACCATAAAGAAGGCTGAGCACTGAAGAATTGACGCTTTCCGATTGCGGTGCTGGAGAAGACTTTTGAGAGTCCCTTGGACAGCAGGGAGATCAAACCAGTCAATCCTAAAAGAAATCAACCCTGAATATTCATTGGGAAGACTGATGCTGAAACTGAAGCTGCAATACTTTGGCTGCCTGATGTGAACAGCCAACTCATTGGAAAAGACCCTAATGCTGGGAAAGATCAAGGGCAGGAGGAGGAGGCGGCGACTGAGGACGAGATGTTGGATGGCATCACCAATACAATGAACATGAGTTTTAGCAAACTCTGGGAGATGGTGAAGGACAGGGAAGCCTGGTGTGCTGCAGTCCATGGGGTCACAGAGTTGGACACGATTTAATGACTGAACAACAACACAGTTGATGATATAGTTAACTTCAATGGAGCAGATACAAAAGTATCAGTTATTGATACTTTTCTGTGGGTAGGCTGTAAATGGGTTATTCAATAGGAACTGAGTAACTGATAATAAGAAGTAATTTGTCAAAGTTGTATTTTCTAGAACAGTTACTCAGGACCAAAAAAATTACTTAGCAAAGTAGTAAATAAACTTGACACAGTCATGTTACTTCTGCTGTAGAGTAAATTGTTAGTAATGGAGACTTGACGAGAATATGCTGTCATCAATGTCACTGAGGGTCCTGAGCTCCCTGTAGGCCCTGCCCTGGTAGTGGGGAGGTATGTCCTTGTTTCTAATCCAGATGAGGAGGTAAACGCCGAGTGCTGCAGTGACCTGGCCACGTCGACAGCTGGAAGCTGTTAGAACTGGGCTTACCCTGGTTCCAGAGCCCATCCGCTCTGGGATGGCAGTGAGGCTCGACAGTGACACACCGACATCACAGCGTTCTCTGTGCGCTTTGGTTTGGCTTGGGTCCTGACTTCACCTCTGTGCTTCTGTCTGTGCCTCTGACTGTTGTCGTTGTGCCTGGGGGAGCCCGGCCCCTGAGGAACCCAGTCTGGAGGGAGTTCACATGCTTGTGTCCTGGTTGTGATCAGAAGTGACCCTTCTCTGAAGCAGCTGCCACCACTCTTCTTACCACATGTTTTCCTTTTCCTTTTTCTTGATTTCCTTCCTCATTTTGCTGAAATGCTGTCCAGATCGTTGGTTCGTTCAGGATACACAAGCTGTGCTTTTCCCGAACTCCTGCATTTAAACATTTTTCTGACTTACACCTTGTTGATGATGGACTCCTGGGATGAAACTCCTTTCTCTTTAGAACTGGAAGCATGTTTTTTGGGGGGAAGTTCTCAGTGTCCAGGATGTGGACATCTGACCTTGCTCGGCGGGGCTACAGTTTGCACACTTGTGTTTTCTGTCAGCACTAATTTTGTTTTCGGTTGACTTATTTCTTTCTTGGTTGGCTATATTCTTTGCCTTTCAAATTCTCATTAGATGGAGTTTCTTGTTTTCTATTTTCCATATGCTGGTTCTCTCCTGATGCTCCTTGAATCGTGCCTCCTCTGTGCTCTGGTCTCCAGCCGTTACAGGCAGTTGTGCCCTCTGCTTTGTTGACAGCTTCCCTGCTCAGATGGTGATTTCCGGAGCCTGTGTTCTTTCTGTGCTCCTTGTGGTCATAGCTTGCTGTAATTTCAGTCTCTGAGGACAGCATAACTGTTTGAGGGCAGTTTTAGGTTTACACAAAAATTAAGCAGACTGTTCAGAGAGTTGCCTTGTACTTCCTGCTCCCAGTCCCAGTTTTTTGGCATTGAGTGGTACATTGTTTAGAGTGATGGTCTAATATTGATATAGATTAACTCAAGTCCACAGTTTACAAGAGGGCTTACTCTTGGTGTTGCTCATTCTTCCAATTCTGACAAATGTATGATGATGTGTATGTAGCATTGTGGTATCAGAATAGTTCCACTGCTGTAAAAACTCTCTGTGCTCTGACTGTTTATCCTCCCTGCCCCCAGCCCCTAGCAAACACCAGTTTTTCTACTGATTCCATAGGTTTGTCTTCTCCAGATTGTTAAAAAGAGTGGTAGAATCCTACAGTGTGTGTGTAGCTTTCTCATTGGCTTCTTTCACTGAGTTAAATGCCTTTAGGCTCCTCCGTGTCTTTTCATGGTTTGGTAGCTCATTTCAGTCAGTGCTAAGTAATACTCCACCATCTGGATGTACCACAGTTTTTTATCCATCACCTGCTGAAGTTGCTTCTGAGTTTTGGCAACTATGATATATATATATATATATATATATCAACTTATTTTTAAGTAGTAGCTTATAATCACACAGAGATTATAACCTCAGTAATGAATTTAGAAATTATGTCTGTCCTCTTTTCTTTGAACTGCATGTTATTTCGAAGTGTATTGTTTTTATAGTAAACACTGAGGCTTTCCTAGATACTTCCCTTTTGGGTCTCTAATCTGTTCGTGTTGGGGACATACTGTATATGATTTCAGTCCACTTAATTTTTTTTTTTTTTTTTAAATTTTGGCTGCGTTAGGCCTTCGTTGCTGCACACAGACTACTCTCTAGTTGCGGTGCACAGGCTTCTTATTGCAGTGGCTTCTCTTGTAGCAGAGCACAAGCTCTAAGCTGCAGCTCAGCCGTCGTGGTGCACAGGCTTAGTTGCTCCACAGCATGTGAAATCCTCCTGGACCAGAGATTGAACTGTGTCCCCTGCATGAGCAGGCAGATTCTTTACTGCTGAGCCACCAGGGAAGCCCTCTGTCCATTTAGATTTTTGGAAGCTTGTTTTAAGGCCCATCATGTAAAAGTGTAAGTTCTATGGATGTGGGTGTCATACAGGTAATTGAGTAATGTTGGTTGATAGTGTTCTTCAGGTTGTTGGCATTTTTCCTAACTTTGTATGTGTTTCTGTTCTGTCAGTTTCTGAGAAAGGGGTGTTAAGATTTTTGTGAGTGTGAAATTGTCTGCTTCTCCCCTTATTTGTCAAAATTTGCTTTATGTATTTTGAGACCCTGTTTTTAAAGTGTGTCTCTTGCATTTTTATCCATTTGACAGTGTCTTCGTTTTACTGGAGCTTTTCATCTGTAGAGTTTCGTTTTCATTTTTCTTTCAGCTTTCTAGCTAGGCCCCCTTATGTCTTTACTTAGAGGTTGCTCAAGGGATTGTGGTAAACACACTTAAATTTAATAGCCTGCTTAGGGTGACAATATTGTAGCAGTCAGAAACTGCCCTTTACCCTAACGTGGGACCACTCGTCACTTCTTTCTGCTGTAGACGAATGTGTTACGTTTGTGTATGTTGTGACCCCACAAAGCGCAGTAATTTTTGCCTAAAATAGAGTCAAGCCTGTCCGCTCGGCACTGGGGATTTTAACCTGCGCTGTCTGCTGTTTCCCTGCGCTCTCCTATAGACAGCGTGCCATGGCAGACCAGAGACAGCGCTCGCTCTCTACCTCTGGGGAGTCCCTGTATCATGTGCTGGGGCTGGACAAGAACGCAACCTCAGATGACATCAAGAAGTCCTACCGGTAGGCGGCCTCCTCCCCAGCGGCTCCTGCATGGCTGTCTTACATCTCCCTGCTTCCCTGGCCTACTTGCAGGGTCACAGTAGCAGTTCTGTTGCATCCCATGAGTGTTACCTTAATGCTTTCTGGGCAGCAGAAAACAGCCCCTTGTATTAAAAAAAAAAAAAAAAAACACCACAGCCTCTTACATAAATAAATTAAAAAAACAAAACTAAACAGCTCCTTGCCAGTCATTTGAACTCCCTGCCCTGGAGCAGAGACCTGGCGGGCAGGTCGAGTGTGCTGAGCTGTGACTGTGGGTTATTCTCCACACCCTGGGGAGGCAGGGAGCCTTCCCTCTGAGCTTGCCCCACCCCCATCCTGTGCAGTGTGTCTAAGACACTGTCACTGATGCAGCCACCTGACACAGTCCTTTATGGTCTCCCTTATCTCCTTATCAGACACATTTAAAAAGCCTTTGCTCCCCGTCCCTGCCTTTGCCTCCATTTGACAAGTGTTCGATGAGCGTCCGGGACACTAGAGGGCAGCAGCGGGGTTGGCAGCTCCTGGGGGAGATCAGAGCAGGCCCGCTCAGGCCAGCTGCTTGCAGGTCAGCTCCCACAGGGCACCTGATTCTATGTGGATGGCTCTGGACGATTGCAGAAATTTCTGTTGACCCTGGCGTTCTTGAGTTCTGTGGAAAGAAAGGGAGCTGGTGACAGGTAGATGTGTCTCTGCTAGCCCTCCGTCCAGTGGGTGAGTACAAAATGCATGACCAGCAGATGGTTTTGGTTTGCAGGAAGCTGGCCTTGAAATACCACCCTGACAAGAACCCTGATAACCCGGAGGCTGCGGACAAGTTTAAGGAGATCAACAACGCCCACGCCATCTTGACGGACGCCACGAAAAGAAACATCTACGACAAGTACGGCTCGCTGGGGCTCTATGTGGCCGAGCAGTTTGGGGAGGAGAACGTGAACACCTACTTTGTGCTCTCCAGCTGGTGGGCCAAGGTGAGGCTGCGACTCCCACACTCGAATCCTGGCGGGTGGGTCTAGGCATGTGTCAGGCTCCTCATCCCTGTGTATACAGGGCAAAGGTCGCATCCCAGCAGCTTTCGCTGGCCTCGTGGCCTGCCTGCAGCTGACCTGGATGCATAGAGCAGGGCCTGTGCTGAGGGGTGGCATCCACAGCATTTTCTTTTATGAGTTGCTGTAATAGAAACAGGAAATAAACTTTTGTCATCACAATGTGGAGAGATTTGTTTTTGGGATTGAGAAGATGTGTTTGAAATGTCTAGCTTGAGAAACTTGAAAAGATAGTATTGTTTTATCTGTTAACATTACTTGATTTCCTGATTTTATTCAAAGCATCTGCCGTGTAAGGCCTGAGAGCGTGGCTCACTGCTGGGCACTGTGCTGTTGGAAGCCAATCCAGTGGCTGCCAGTCCCCCTTCCCCCTTCCCCCCTCCCCCACTTCAGAATTTACTGTTCTTATGCAGCTGGTCTTTCTGCCTTTCCTGTCTTCCTGTCTTAATGTTCTTTATTCTTCTTGATCTGGGAAAGAACCCACTGTTGGTTGAGGACCCCTCTATAGCTGGGGTGGGCACTTCCTAACATAGCCCTGTCCCCCTCCCCCCAGGCCCTGTTCATCTTCTGCGGGCTCCTCACCTGCTGCTACTGCTGCTGCTGCCTCTGCTGCTGCTTCAACTGCTGCTGTGGCAAGTGCAAGCCCAAGGCGCCGGAGGGTGAGGAGACCGAGTTCTATGTGTCCCCTGAGGACCTGGAGGCGCAGCTGCAGTCCGACGAGAGGGGTAAGTGCGCCCACCGCCCGGGTGGCGCGCGAGGGGCGGGGCCGGAGCGGGCCCTGAACGTGTCGCCCTGTCTCATCAAACAGGAGGGCACTGACACTGTGCGGGAGTGTTTGTGGTGGCAGCGGGACGGTTGAGGTGTGAACGTGGACACTGGAGGTAAAGCAGGCTCGGAGGGCTGTCCCCGCCGCGGACTGTGGTGGCCGAGTAGGCGGGGAGGGCCGAGGGCCGAGGCCACTGAGGAAGGTTGTGTGGGGCAGAGGTCCAGGCAGCCTCACCCTTCCGAGTGCTTGCCCTACGACCTCTGACCCCAGTTGAGCCACCAGGTGGCCAAGCGTGTCACACAGTGTCGGGGACCGTGAAGCTCACCGGCCTGACCTCACACCATGTGCGTCGCTTGCTTGCAGAGGCCGCAGACACGCCGATCGTCATCCAGCCGGCATCTGCCACGGAGACCACCCAGCTCACGGCTGACTCCCACCCCAGCTACCACACTGACGGGTTCAACTAAGTCCAGGATCAGTCAGCTCCCGGCCACTCAACCTTAGAATCATGAACTGTAGTCACAGAGATGGCGTGGGAGCCGCCCTGGCCCCAGGAGGGCCGCGCCGACCCGCCTCTGTGCCCGCCCATCCACCCCCGACACATGAAGTGCGTAGCATGCAGTATTTAAAGCAGTTTAGCTACGGTCTTCTTCATCTTCTGTTGTTTCCTTTTTTAATAGCATGTATGGGTTATGTCCATGTCTGTATGTGTTGTGGGCGTGTTGCAGCCAGACCGCATTCACCAGACGTGGGGCTGCCTCAGGACTCTCAGGCAGGTTGACGTGGTGGGTGGATGGCCCTTGTGGTCCCTCACGGCCAGGTGGGCTCAGGCAGGATGGGCACTCCGTTTCCTGTTTCCATGGGGGCCTGAGGCAGGTGCTGCCTGATGGAAGCTGTGGGGTCTGCTCCCTACCATGTCAGCCTACCTTGTGGCCACAGGCAGAGCCTCTGGACTCACTTGACAGGAAGGCGCTGGGCCTGACTCGCAGCCCCAGGGTGTTGCCCTGTGGTACTCATGCTCACCTTGTCTGCTTCGCCTAATGGCAGGTATTCCCATATCTGACCTGAGGCCCCTGTGCTTCGAGTGTGCTCCCTCCCCGGATGGACCGTCCCTGCAGCCTTCATGCTCCCCTTCCCTGCACTGCCCTCCACATTCCTTCAGGCCCACCTGGCCTCTTCATAATCCTTTCTTGGACTTCCAAGAACCACAGATGGTATCAGCGGCCCAATTAGTGGTAGTCAGAGGGGCTGAGTCCAGGCTGCCCGTGGTGAGTGGGCTGCATAGCCCTCCTGCTTCCCGCCCCGCCCCAACCCCTCACCTCCAACCCACTTTCCTCCACCTGCTCCCTTTGGCCATTGTGGATGGTTTGGGCAGTTAGAGATATTGAGCTTATGGAGGAAGGACCAGCTGGACCAAAGGCACACTCCGGGCAGAGAGTCAGTCCCAAGGAGGCCTCGGTGCCCTTGGCTCATTCACCTGCAGCCAGACCACAGAAGCTCTCTCACCTCTGTCTCAGCACCACCTCCTGTGGACTGTTGGAAGCCAGTCTGTCTTGTCTGTGTCCAGCCCTGGGGATAGTCCACCACTGTGAGGACATGGAGACGTGCTTGTGCTGGGCCTGTGTCAGACCTGCACCTCCAGACCTGTGTGGCCCAAGCAGGCCTGCCTGGTTTCTGCAGAATGAACCTAGTGACCACTGGACGACTCCTCAGTGTCCAGTGGGGGAGGCTGTGGGCAGGGGCTGCACGTGAGGAGGTCAGACGCACCAGGACACCCTCCCAGAGCCACTGTCCCCCACCCACCCGCCCACCCATAGCCCCAGCTCACTCGCTGTGCTGTGCTCTGCAATCACCAGGTCCAGAGGCACGTAATGGTACTGTTTTATTTGGGGTTTTGCCTGTGAAAATGATCGTGAAGACATTCAGTGAGAGTTGAGATAAATGCACTGGTATTAAATTAGAAATAACCTACTAAAATCAGACTTCTTAAAAGAACAAGGAATCGGTTATTTGACCTGTCCTGGACCAGGGAGGAGGCTGGTCTTTGGTGCCAGCCCCAGGCAGACAGCAAGAATTCAGCCTGAGAGCAGGCCCTAGTCAGCCATCTTGTTTCTGGAAATAGCTTAGGAAATGAGTTGTTTTTCTCCAGAATGGCCAAAAAACAAGTTCAAAGCTTGGACTCCAGCAGGCAGGCAGCCACCCCTTCTGCAGTGGCTGTGTTGTTGCTTTGTGGGTGGAAAGCTCTAAGACCCACCCCACACACGTCAGGGTGAGCCCCTTGTCAGGTGTGTCTCAGTTCCGGAATCTTAACTGCTCGTCTGCTAGAAACGTGATGATCCCCTGGAGACCAGGGTGCCGTGGAAAAGGGGCAGGTCTGCAAGTTTGTTGAACCCAGTCTCCCACAGAATTGCAAAAACCTAATAAATCATGATGACAATGACGACAATTCTCCTGGTGATGGTAACGATTACATGAGGCCCAGGTCCCCAAGGAGCCAGCACCTGCTGGGTCTAGACCACGCCTCCTCACCTGACCCTGACTCGGGCCCTCCTGTGTGTCCACTTTGTTGATCTGGAAGCAGAAAAAGTCTTCTCAGCACCTTCAGGCGCTCCCCGACTGGAGACCTAGGCCCCTGGCTGTGTTTCCCTGTTTCCTGTGGCCCGTGTTTCCCTGGTGAGCAAGGTGTTGTGTCTGGAGCGTCCCCTGTTCGTGTGTTCAGAGGGGGCGACCCTCTGCCTGCTGTGGTGGTAAAGAAGTGCTATGGCTAGTGCTGGGGTGCCCTGAGGTCCTGCAGGGGCATGGGAGTGGCTGAAGGGTGATCAGAGGCTGGTGGCCTGTAGATTTCTGTTTCTGCTTGGTGACGTGGTCTCTTGTCTTCCTTGGGTGTTATTCTGTTTTCAAACTGCTTCAGACGTTACCGCTCGTGCGTGAGCCTTCCTGCTTCTCTGATCAGTCGAGCAGCCAGCACCACGAGGAACCCACTAGGAAACATGGACATGGCGCTCCTGCTCCGGGTGGGGCGGAGGACCTGTTCCAGGGGAGATGAGCAGCCTCCCTGGCACCTGGTGTGAGACCTTCAGTGAGTGGGTGGGTGCCCAGAGCCTGGGGGCCCTGTCCACCCTTCCCTGGCTCTCAGCAAGCCCTGCCAGGGACACAGCTTGCTTGCTGGGTGTGGTGAAGGGGCGTGAAAAGTGACTGATCTCATTCCTTTCCCAGTATTCTGAGCTGTGAACTCATGTGACACAGGACTCCTGTTTTGCTCTTTTTGGTTGTGACTCCTTCTCCTGTGGAATTGGCAAAAGCTACATTTTAACTGTCCTTTCAAGCACGGTTGGCGTTGTCTCTGCTGTAGGTGTGGGCAGTGTGTGTACATATGTGTATATGTATATATCACCCAGCAGCGTGACTGCTGCCGTCCAGGGCGAAGCAACAGTACAATAAACGTTGGCTCCAAAACTGCCTCTGGTTTCTTGATCAGTGGGCAGGAGCAGGGCGTCTGGGCAAGCTGGCCCGCTGTGCACAGAAGGAAACCCCGACCCTGCTGTGTCCTGGGATAGGTGTGGGTGGCAGGCCAGGTGTCGGCCTCTTGGGGTGGGGGGCAGGGCTGCCTCCTCATCCCTGGGGACTCACCTGACCCCCGAGGTGAGTGTCTCATGACCCTCAGACGTGGCTGGAAACCCCTCCCTCCTTTGAAACATTAAAACCCATTTTGTAGGCATCAGATACAACCAATGACAAAGCTGCATTGCAAGCGGTCTCTGTCCTGACCCCAGATCCACCCAGAGGTTCCCTGTGAGGTAGGAGATAGATGGGCTCCAGCTTGCACATTTATTCTCCTACCTCACCTGGGGGAAGAGGCTGGGCCTGGGTCCTGTGCGCAGCAACTTCTGGTCAATTTTGTCTCCTTGGAGATGGGATGGTGTTTCGGGTGGGCAAGGGAAGCAGTTTACACTGAAACCTGTATACATTGTGGTTAGAAGCTAAATGCAGGTGCATGGACCACGGTCGTCCGTGTGCTGGTTTGTCCTGCTGCTGGGGTCCAACCTCTGCCCTGAGCCCGTGCACACACCTGGGGCTGGGCTGGGGGATCACGGAGGTTTCCCATGGTGATGGTCTCTTATGTCTGAATGTTGACCTATAATAAAGATTACTTGTAAAAAATAAATGTTTTCACTGCAGACCAGGTGTATGTCTTATTTAATGATCCCTGCATAATCCTATTTTGGGGGAAGTCTTACACTCAGGGGGCAGCTGACCTCGACCCTCCTGAGAGAGGGGCAGGCGACACCCTGTGCCCCACCAGGCACCCCTGGACACAGTACAGGCAGCTGCCTTTGTGCCTGTCTCCTCACTCCAAGATAAGCATCCAGTTTTGGGCTCTTGCAGGAGGCTCCATCTCTGCCCTGTGGTGTGCATGTCTGGGTATTCACGTCCACCATGTGTGCCTTCTCATATCAGGATGGCTCAGGCCCTGGGGACCCTGACATTAGGTACAGGGAGAGGCCACCCTAACCCACATGGCTCCTGGATCTGACTCCCTATCCCTACAGCACGGTAGGGGGCAGCTGCCTCCAGAAACACCAGTCTTGGGCTGCAGGTGCCACCTTCCACATCCCAGGGGGTATTGGCCCTTCTTGGCTGTGCTTCTCAGGTGGGGGTGCTGGTCTTCTGTGTCTTTGGTCTTAGCGAAGAGCAAGGCAGAATTGATTTGAAAAAAAATTAAAGCATAAAAATAATATAACACCTTGAAGCACTATTTGGACATAACAAACATGAAGTAATTTAATTTACATTTTCCACAAAAAGATATGACAGGGACTTCCCTGGTGGGCCAGTGGAATTTTTAAAAATTCTGTCAAAAAGGATTTCCTTGGTGGCACAGTGGATAAGAATGCACCTGCCAAAGTAGAGGACACTGGTTCAGTCCATGGTCCAGGAAGATTTCACATGCCATGGAGCTACTAAGACTGGGTGCCACAACTCCTGAAGCCCGCACACCCTGGAGCCTGCACTCCGAAACTACTGTGCCTGAGTGCTGCAACTACTGAAACCTGTGCGCCTGGAGCCTGTGCTCCACACGAGAAGCCACTGCAATGAGAAGCCCATGCACCTCAATAAAGAACAGCCTCCACCCACCACAACTAGAGAGAGCCTGTGCAAAGCAAGGGAGATCCAGAACAGCCAAAAATTAAAGGGAAAACATAATAAAGACCCCTTTGTACTTCTCTCTCGGGGGTCCAGAGGTGGCCACTAGGCACTTAGGCCCACTTCGATTTATGGTTTTAAACCCTGCCTACCAGTGTCAGGGTAGCTGAAGTTCCAACACTTTGGCCACCTGATAAAAGATATGACTCACTGGGAAAGACCCTGATACTGGGGAAACAAAGGGCAAGAGAAGGGAGTGACGAGGATGAGATGGTTGGATGGCGTCACTGACTCAATAAACGAGTTTGAGCAAACTCGGGGATAGTGATGGACAGAGAAGGTGCTGCAGTTCATGTGGTGGCAAAGAGTCAGGCACAACTTAGCTACTTACTGAACAACCAGTATCAGCATCTATAAAATGTACCACTGATTTCAAAGATTTACATAAATTGTACAGCACTAAATCACTGTGAGGTTCATTCAATGTAGGTTTTTTTTTTTTAATCCATGTGGCTACATTTAGTTGTGGTTATTTTAATTTCTATACAGCATATATCATATGAATCAACCACAAGTGGTTGGTGGTCGTGTCACTTGAGGACACAGGTGATTTTAGTTCCTGGCTGATGAAGCAGAGCTGCGCTGCCCTGGCCAGGGACTACCATTGGGCAGGGTCTGGAAACTTCCCCGTGATTGGTGGCCCCAAACGCCCTGCACATCCACAGAGAGGAAGGGCCCTTCCTATCTCCCTGACAGCCTTAGCATCCTCAGACGTTTCTCCTCATTTTCAGTATTTTCTACCTGAGATACTGACAGAAACAGGACGTGACAACACGAAACCAATGTTTAATGATGGGCCTTCAGAGTGGTGGGCAACGGGACCTCCGCCCCTCCTGGCCCTTGTTTAGGAGGACTGAGGGCCCGGGGCGTGGATGAAGTCCCCCAGTGCCCTTTGCTCTTCAGTCCTAGGACCCTGGGCTCTTAGCAGAAGTCGCGGTCGCAGCGTGTGGGTACGGTCTTAGGTACACCTCCAGCCTCCCTTCCCTGTCCTACCTCCCACACCCCCTGGAAGTACCGAGAGGCAGCCCCGCCCAGCAGCCGTCTGGCGTGTGGGGCGTGGCCACGAGGAGGGGCGGGTCTGCCACGGGGATGTGGGCGGTGGCGGCGGCTCACGTCTCTCCAGCCCCTCCCGGCAGACCTGGCGCAGGTAATCTGCGTCCAGGTAGGTTGAGCGCGGGGCTGTATCGCGTGGGCTCCCCTGCCCTGGCTCCCAGGCAGCCCGCCCCCTCCCTCGCCTACGTTGCCTTCGACGTCACCGCGTGAAGCGCTTTATTTCAGGAACCCAAGCGGCAGCCGCAGACGAAGGCCCCGCGACGGGCCAGCGGTTCCGGGAGTTCTCCTGGTTCAAGGAAACCCGGCAACAACTCGGTAAGACGCGACCCGGAGGGGAGCGCGGGCCACGTGGGCGCCGGGGGCCGGACGCGCCCGCAGTCACCTGCCTTCTTGGAGTAGCGTCTCCCGTGTCGGTCGGGCTCGGGGCCCCGAGGACCCCGCGCGGCCCATCCCGGCGGGAAGACCCCATCGCTATGCGGTAACCCCTGTCCCTGGCGCGACCGGTCACCCATCCTCTCCAAGTCCTGAGGACTGGGCTTCCACGGTCTCAGGGAGGCCCCCTGCTCAAGCTCCCCAGAACTTCGGGGGGGCCCGAGGCAGCACCCGCGGCGCCCTGGACCGCGGCTCCTTCCAGTCCTCTCTTTCCTTCCGGGAGCGCGGTCCCCAGCAGGCCCGTGCCGCGATTCTCGGCTCGCACTGGTACTAGGGGGCGTGGTGGCGGTTGGGGAGGGTCCAAGCCAGCGCCAGGCCCACCCCCAGACGCGTGACGCCGGGGCAGTTTTCGGCCCCCAGTTGGAAGCCAGCTTCGCCCGGGAACTAGGCCCACCCACCTGTCCGCCGCCCCAGCGGATGTATCCTCGCTCTGCTCGCCAGGGCTCCCAACTCGGGCCCTCCTCGGGGTCACACACCTGGGAACCCCGCGAACACCGTTGCTATTGCCCTTTTCTCACCCTTCTAAGTACAGCTAAAACCCACCTGCTGCCCCCTGCCCTGTTCTTTCAGAAGTGAATCCACGGCCCCTTCCCTTCCTGCCCCTGCCCCAGCTCTCAGCTTGACATTGGAGGGTCTGGAAGTCTCCCAGCACCGAGCAGCCTGTCCTGCAGCGTCTCTGGCTGCCTCGTGCAGGGGCTCAGCCCTGAAACATGCACAAACGACACTTCCTGGGACTCACCCTGGGGCACCTAGGACTGTATCGAGCCAAAGCCGGGACACTGGCATCTGGCTGTTTCTTCTTGACTCCTGGTGTCCCAGCCGAGAACTGAGACACTCTGATGGGTGGAGTCCTTCCCCAGATAGTACCCACCTTTCTGCTGGAGTCCATGTGCCCCTTGCTGCTGCTGGGGAGGGGACGGCACCTCGCGGGCTGACGAACCTGAGATTGTCCCTGGATGCTCACCATTCTCAGGTTGGACAGTCCTGAAGGCACTGCCCAGGTGGCTGATGGGGCTTCCGCAGGCACAGTACTCTTTGGGGTTCCTCACCCTGTGTCCCAGGAGCCTCTGGACAAGTGAGGGGTGGGGGGGGGGGGGGCTCAGGGTCTGTCCTGGCCCAGGCTCTGAGGTTCTCTCCAGGCTGCAGGCCCACCCTCAGCTACTCCCCAGGTTCATCCCCCACCCCCTGACCTCTGCTGGGCCCCCAGCAGCCCAGGTGCCCAGAGTGCAACACAAGGGGCCACTCATCAGTCCCAGCTGGCACACAGCTGGAGCGGTTTGCCTGGGGGTGGGCTTCTCTGGCCCCAGCAGCACCACCCAGCTTCTCCCCACGCTGGAAGCCCCCAATGGTTCCAGTCCTGGACCTTGAACTCTGGTGCTGTTTCTGGGACTGGGAGGCTCCCTGAGGCTGGAGGAATTGCCCCTTTCTCCCAGCGGCACCCCAAAGACCCTTCATCAGGGCTGTTTGGAAGGTAGCCACTTCTGCCACCCCTTGGGGTCCTGGCAGGATGTGGCCCAAGAACCCCCCTAAGCTGTGACCTTGCCTCCGGGAGATGTCTCTGGTGAGGGACCCTTAGTCTGAGGGGGTGGGGCTTGGTCCTAGGACATACTGACTCTGGAGAAGTGGGAGTTCTGTCCCACACACAGGCTGGTGGCTGAGTGGGGTGGGGGCCCTGAGCTACATCTCACACATGTGTGTCTGGGGCCATGTGCTCTTTGCACACACATGAGCAGGTTTGGCTTTAGTATCTTCTCTGGAAGCTGGTTAGCCTCTAGCCGGACTCGGGGGCCCCTCCTGGGATGACCTAGTTCCTGCCCAGCTCATCAACTGTCTGCCTCATTTCTTACCTGGGAAGAGCTTGCCGGATAGAAGGGCATCTTTGCCTCCTTGCCTGTCAGCACTTGAGCAGGGCCAGGCCTGCTGCAGGCTCCAGGTACAAGAGCACAGGATGAATGAGTGAACAAATCTGGACCTGGAGACAGGGCTGGAGCAGGGGGCTGTCCACTCACCAGGTTGTGGGGGAGAGGTCCCTCCTGCCGACCTCAGGGCTGTGCCGCTCCTCTGACCCTGTGCCTGGCCACCTCTGGACCAAGCTCCCGCCTTTATCTGCTGCCCTTCGCTTGGCCCCCACCCAGAGACTTCCTGTCCCCGCCCCACAACTAGCTTTTCCATGACATGGCCTTTGTGTGTGTGTGTGGGGGGGGACCAAGAGAGACCTGGAGGGCAGGAAAGAGTGAGACCAGGCCGTGAAGTGGAGGGGACGTCTGTGTGGGGGCTTCTGACAGCCCACCTGTTGCAACTGGGAATCCGCCTCAGGTTTGTGAGCCAGGCAGGCCTGCTCTCTGGCAGGTGCCCTAGCCCAAAAACAGTGAAGGCAGGGCCGGACGTGGTTTCTGGCCCTGAGCAGTGTGGCCAGCTTGCTGACACACCGGCGTCTCCCCTGCAAGTGGGGCCCCTGTGGCCAGCACTAGCTCCTCACTCCTTCCTACAGCCACCCGCACACCAGTCTCCTCCCCCACACTAGCTCCCCCCGCTGTGGTACAAATATGCGGGGGTTGGCGGGGAGTGACTGTGGAGGGAGTGACTGTGGAGGCTGCTGACACCTTTAAGACCCAGAGCCCTAGGTCCAGGCCAGGTGGCCACCAAGGGCCTGTCTAGCAGGGCCAGGAGCTGCAGGTCCAGCTCTGCCCTGTTCTAAATGTAGCTGAGCCTGGACATGACGAAAGTCAAGTACAAGACCAGGACCCCTTGTCCTGCAGGGGCTGGGGGCGGGAGGAGGCAGGGCCCTGACCAGAACCTAGTGGAGGGCAGGCTTCCTTGGTCTGTCTGCTCCATGGGGGCCTCACAACTTGAGGACTGGGGCAGCCCTGGGGCCCGCTTCCCAAGCCAGGTCCAGGTGGGACAACAGTCCTGGGCCCTGCTCGTTGACTGCGGCTTCCTTTTCCTAAAGCTTTATTTTATAAAATGTTTAGACAAGTTACAAGGGTAACACTTTTTTTTAATTAAAATAAATTAACATCTCTATTCTGAGCCTCAGGAGAGACAGGGAGGCGGGGGGAGTTGGGGCGGGTGGTGGCTACCCAGTGGAGCCCCCTTCTTCATCGTCGCTCCCATCAGGGACGGCGTCGGTCCCAAAGTAGCGGTCACCAAAGTTCCCTAGGGGAAAAAGCAGGTCCTTGTGGTGGGGTCTCAGGCCCACCTGCCCCCCACCCCGCAGCGCCACTGAGGCGGCCAGACAGCCTCACCGATGCCAGGGATGATGCGGAAGAGGTCGTTGACACGCTTGTCTACTGCTGTGGTGATGATTCTAACGCGTGGGAAGGCGTAGGCCACCGAGTGGACACCCATCTCCGCCATAAGCAGCGATAGCAGGAAGATCTTGTCCTCGGGCACATCATGGTCCTGCGGGGCGAGGGGCTGAGTTGCGGCCCTGGACCCACCCCCACACCCCCACCCCCCACTCACCAGCAGCACCCGCACAGCCATCATGGCCGCCGCGCCCGTGGACACCGTGCAGTCCATCAGGATCACGTGGTCGTCACTGATGTCCTTGGGGAGCCGCAGGTAGTGGAGCTGCAGGAGGCCCCAGGGTCAGGGGGTCCCCGAAGGCTGCACCAGGGCTCTCCGGGACTCCACCCCCATGCCCTTCTTGGGCTCCACCTGTACTTGGTTCCACCCTCTCCCCCCCCTCACTCCCAGGGGTCCCTCACCTCGGGCTCCCCAGTGAGCTGGTTGGTCTGGATGAGGATGGTGCCAATGCGCACGTCCTTGCATACGGCCCGCAGTGCAGGCTCCATGGTCTCGCCGGCCCGCAGGATGGACACGCCTGTGATCTGGGGGACGAGGTTGAGCTGGTCAGACCCTGCCTCCCCGCCACCCCAGTTTCCACCCATCTCCCACTGCAGGCTAGGCCCCTGGTACCTGCTTCCCGGCATAGCACTTGCCCGCGTAGTCCTGACCCTGTGGGGTCTGCACCACGCAGTCCTGTGCAGGGCGGGATGGGGACGTGAGTGTGAGGAGCCTCTCCTCCCCTTCCCTGCTACCCAGCCTCCCCCACCCCTGTCCTCAGACCTGGAAAGGCAAGAAGGAGAGTGCGTGCTCGATGAGCAGCCGCATCAGCCTCTTAGAGTAGAAGATGAACTCGTCCCTGCTGGTTTCCCGGTCTCTGCAGGTGGCGGTCATTCGCCGGGTTAGGGAAGGGCAGCTCGCCCGCCCGCTGTGCCCTGAGGAGGGGGGGAGAGCTCACCTGATGATGGTGTGCATGCCCCGCACCTGCGGCGTGCTCTTGAGGACACTAAGCGTTCTGGGAAGGGGGTGGCACTGGTGCGCCGAGGCCAGAGCCGCCCTGAGGACACAAACCAATTGGGAACTCAAGGAGGGCATTTCCCCCAGAGCCCTACCCTCCCGCTGCAGACTGGTGGGGTGGTGGTGCGCACCTCAGTGTGCCGGGTGGGGGCTATCCTCCCAGTAGTTGATCTGGAGGTAGGCCCCCATTCCCGGATGCCCTCCCCCATAACAGCCAGGCAAGGGTTAAAGGACTCGGTGGAAGGCAGAGCAGCTGACCGTTAGGCAGGAAGCAGGGGATGCGGGCAAGCCTCCCTCCCCGCTCCAGGTCCTGGCAGACGAATCTCTGCCTCCAAGCTGGGCACCTGGTCCCCAACCTCTGGACCTTCCAGGGGAAACAGCCGAGCTTTGAGGCCAAGCCCCGCCTAAGTTTCCCCAAGGTGATGCGCGGCCCCCTCGGGAGAGGGGCAGAGCTGGCTTCGCAGCTCCTGCTGCCCCAGCCTGGAGCGGAGAGGGGCGGGGCCTGCGGGGCGGGGCGGGGCCTGCGGGCGCCGGCACACAGCTCGCGGGCAGCACCACGGCCAGAGCACTCTGTCCTCACAGATCCCAGCGCAGCTTCCTCTGCCCGCCAGGTGAAGAGGCGAAGAGTAGGTCAGGGAGGGAACAGGGCAGGAAACCCCAGGGTTTACAAAGAGGAAAAGAAGAAAAAGAAAAGACCACTTAGCGGCAGCACCGTGGTCCCCGCAGCCACCAGCTGGCCTGGGGAAGAGCAGGAGGCTGGGGGAGGGGGGAGGCGGGGTGGTGGCAGGAAGACCCCGCAGCTCGCGCCCCTGGGCCTGCGAGCACCCGCAAGTCCACAGCAGACGGTCCTGCAGGTCCCTTCCACCCAAGGCAGACACGCTTCCTGGAAACTTTTATGTCTCTGAACCAAGGCTTCCGCCGGAGCCCTGGGCTGGGTGAGAGGCAAGCGGAGACTGATGCGTGGGCAGGAAGCTGGAGGCCGGCGACCAGCCTGGAGGCATTTCCAACGCAGCTGGAGCTCGGGGCTCCGTCTGGTGCTTACTGGCTCTGCGGCTACTGCGTAGGGACAGGGCACCACCCTCCGCCTTGTGGGCGGGAAGGGCACTCGGCCCAGAACTCCTGAGGGCTCCACCTGGCCTCCAGTGCCGGGGTGGGGGTGGGGCGGTGGCTCACTACCTCTTAGGGGAGTAAACTGGCTTCTTGGCTTAAGCAGAGAAGGGGCAGACCCAGGCCCTTGGCTGCAGGACAGACTGGTGGCACTGCCCTGGGGCCCAGGAGTGCTATAGCTCAGGATAGCTGCGCCCTGGAGTCGGACCCGATACAACCAGCCCCAAGTCAGATAAAAGCCTCCAGAGAAGTCAGGGTACTATGTGATGTCGGGCAGGCCCTTTGACCTCTCTGGGCCTGAATTACCTGGCAAGGGCAGGTAGAAGCAGTGTAGGGGCCACCACACCACCCTTCTGTGCCTGGGGCAGAGCCACCAGAGGGTGGGCATGGTGGGAGGGGACAGCCCAGACTCCGAGCTCCCTGTGGATGTTGGAAATGCCTCCATCTGCGCAGACAGGTGTGGGAACTCTTACCTGACACTGAGCTCACGCTGCAGCAGTGACAAGGAGACACAAGGGAATGGGTGTCAGAGACGGCAGCACTGCTCACCTCAAAGTCACAGGACGGTATGGCCTGTCGCCACCGCATGCCTCAGCCAGCCAGGCCACCCCCACCCAAGAGCAGACACACCACAGCCCCAGAGGGGAGGGTCCTAAGGGCTGCCTGTCATGGGAGAGGGTCAGCTTCCTGTGGTCTGACATGGGTACTTCTGGGTGGGATGTCAGAGCCAGGATCCTTGGAGCTCTGTTCCGCAAGCCTCAAGCACCCCACTGTGAAGCCAACCTCAGGGGTGGGTGGCCCCCATGGACAGCCTGTGGTGTGTGACCTAGGATTCTTCGGACAAGGGACTCGGTGCCAAAACCCCAGTCACCCAGAAGGGCTGGAAGGGATCAGCTGTACCCATCTCTGCAAGCCCCATGCTCCCTCAGGGAGCCCAGCTGCCCCTGGCCAGTAAATATGGGGCTGTTTGGGCAGGTGGCCCTGGGTGGTGGCAGCAGGGGCCGGCTGGTGGGGCTGCGGGGTGTGGGAGCAGGGCCAGCTGTGGCTCACCTCCTCCAACTGGCTATGCACGTGCTGCACAATCAGGTCGATGGCCACTGTGTTCCCGCTCCCTGGGTGTGAAGGGGGAGGGTGAGGTCCTGCCCCCACTCTTAAGGGGAGCAGGAGGGAGGATAAGGTCTGGCTGTGCCCCCCATCACCGCCTCCCTGCCAGATGGGCCTGCAGGCTGACCCCGGGGCACCACGATGTCCGCCACACGCATGGTGGGTTGGATATACTGGTCGAAGGCGGGCTTCACAAACTTATTGTACTGCTTGATGACGCCCTCGATGTCCCGGCCCCGCTCGCTGATGTCACGGCGCAGTCGCCGCACAAGGCGTATGTCAGAGTCTGTGTCCACAAAGATCTTCATGTCCAGGAGCTATGGGGGGGTGGGGACAGTGAGCAGCTGAGGGCCAACACTGGCAGGGTAGCAAAGGCCACGGGGGATGGCCTCCGGCAGAGACTCTGGTCTGGATGTGGGCCCAGGAGTGGACCAGTTCCCCAGGGCTCCTTTGGGGTCTGGATGGTGTGGGTGCAGGGGCAGGGTGTGGTGTGTGTGCCTGAATGTGTGTCTGGTGTGCATCATGTGTGGAGTGTGTGTGTGTATGTACGGCAGGCAGTGGGGTTCCCAGGGCCTGAGCACACTCACACACAGGACCAGCACAAGCAGCAAGGCCTAGGGCAGAGCCAACCATGGATAGACCTCGCTCAGGGCAGGGAAGGAGCCATCCGCAGCCTGAATGGAGGGTGTCACATGTGGGGCAGCTGCCCAGAGCCTCCCAGGGGACAGGATGCCCTTGCAGACAGTGCCCACATGGGAGGCTAGTTCCCTCCCAGGTAAGAACACACGTGCACACACACACAAGTGAATCTACCCCCACAAATGTGGCTGTGACCTTGGCAGCCATGTGACGCAAAGGGCTGGGTGAGATTCAGGAGACAAGGCAGCTCACCCAACCCTGGGCCTCAGCACAGTAAGGGAACTGGGATGGAAGCATGTTTAAGGGCAGTCCTGCAGGAGGACCCGGGTCATCTGCCTGGAGCCTGTCCTCACCTCCAGCAGTGTCTTGTCAGCAAAGGCCATGATTCCCTCGAAGATGATGACATTTGCACCATACAATGTTTTCTGCAAAGGAACAGAGTGTGTGGAAGCAAAGCGGCCCAGGGCCCTGGCATCAGCCCAGATAGCCAAGCCCCTGGCATCAGCCCAGCATAGCCAAGCCCGCGGCCTACCCAGTCCTTCTTCCGACTGTGGGTGGTGAAGTCATAGATGGGCACCTTGACACTCTTGCCCTGCTTCAGCTTCTTGAGCGTGGAGATGATGAGGTCGAAGTCAAAGGCATCTGGGTGGTCAAAGTTGAAGTTGTTGTGGGCAGCCTGCTCCTGCTGCTGCCTGGTGAGCACCTGCGGTGGGGGGAGGGGAGGAGCTGGGAGGAGGGGCAGCTGCAGGCTCAGACCCCTAGAGAGGGTGGCGGGTGGGGGGGTGGGGTGGGGAGGTGGCGGTCCAAGAACCTCCCAGAGGCAGCCTGCACCACAGGGCACCCGCACCTTATAGAAGGAGTCCATGGACAGCAAGACCACCCAGGGCACATCCAGGGCCTCAATGATCATTCTGGCCACGGTGGTCTTCCCGGAGGCACTGCCACCTCCCAGACCTGTAGGTGGGGTGGAGACCTTGAGCACAGTGGCCCAGCCCAGCTCACAGATGAGTCCCAGTGGTGCCTGCCACTCCCACACAGCCTCTTCTGACCTGGACCGAGGGGCCCAAGCAGGCCTAGTCACAAGACACCAGCGCAGGCATTGGACACTGAGGTGGGTCCCACCCCTCTACTTGGGGGTCCCACCAGATGGTGGCTTTGGCTCACCCTTCCCGCCACGGCCATGCTCACCAATGGCAAAGGCCTCCTTGGACTGGGTACCATGCTCATTGTACCACGGCGGCCGCCCTGCTGTGTAGATGGTGCGCTTGCTCGTGCGCAGGAGGGGCGGCTCAGACTTGCACTGGCTGGTGGTGCGCTTCCTTGGCGAGCGCCCCGCGCCCACAGGTGGGAGCAGCCTGTCCAGGGACTCCGCGTTGCTGCTGTGGGGGAGGGGGACACAGTCGTCTTGGCCCAGGGCCATCAGCGCCCGGTCACCCCACATCAGGCCTGGTGTGACTAGTCCACATGGTGCCCCCATGCACGCACATAGGCATGGTGAAAGTGAGCAGACTTGTGTAGGGGCACAGCACACTCGGCTGCAGCCCATCCATCCAGGGGACAGCGGGGGACACCAGGGGAGCACTGTCCCGGCCCAGCTCTTCCTCCCACGTGGACTGGGCATCAGGGAGATGGGAAGTGGTCATGCCAAGGACAGTCAAGACCCATCAAGGACTGTGTTCTTTCCCCCGACACACTCGGGGCAGCCCTCTCCTTTTGTGAGATCCAATCCCTGCCATCCTTCAGGGCACAGAGGGAGGGGCTACAGAGAGAGAGAATGGAGCAGGAGGGAGACCCAGGGCACCGTGCCAAGTACAGGGAAGAGGGTGGAGGCCCCCAAAGGCTGCATTTGAGGTGGGGTGGAAACCCGAACTGGGGGAGGGAGGCAGACCCCACTGGTGCCTGCTCCAGCGAGCAGAGCTGTGCTGACTTCTCAGCAGGTTTATACCCCAAAGGGGCACGGACGTGATGCTTGGCTCAAGGCCCCAAGGCCTGAGGGGACAGCAGGGGAGGCTCAGGTTGTCAGCCTACCCGAGCGGCCAGACGGGAGACAGAGTCTCGGACTCAGAGCCCCGTGTGAAGGTGGCCCGAGGCACAGGACCAGCTTAGGGAGAAGGCACTTCCAGTCACTGCCTGAGAGGGAAAGTGGACTGCTCACAGCGTCAGCTTGCAGACCCACCCCAGAGACACCGAAAACAGGCTGACAATCCAGGCAGGGAACCAGGGTGCTCCAGACAACCTAGGTAGGACATGTCCACCTCCAGCCGGAGCCCCAGTGATGGATGTTGCTCAGATACGGGTCAAAGCCTGAGAAGGAGCCATACACTGAGGGTGTCCTCAGGTGAGAAGGCAGCGTGCCATGAGCCTCAGAGGCCAGCACACGCCTGTCAGGGGGAAGCACAGACCAGCCTCGGCAACCAGGATCAGGAGCAAGGACTTCAGGCAAGTGTTTTATAAGCACATGCCCCTTTGTGATCAAAAACCAAACCAACCCTTGGTCTGTCCCCGAAGCTGGCCATCACTGCTATGGCCTGCTGTCATGGCCAGGACAGGGCGCTGTGAAACTGGCCTTGGGGAGATGTCCCCAGGAGTGCAGGGCTGTCTGGCTCACTTCAGGATAACCTAGCATTCCCCTGGCGTTCTCAGCTGTGTGGCTCCCAGTGCACCCAGTGTTGCCAAGAGGCAGGAGGACAGCGTCTGTGCACACGTGTGTGTATGGGGGGGGGAGGCCAGGGGAGGAATTAGCTCAGGGCTAACACGTGACAAGTCACACCAGTGGCTTCCAGGGCACAGAGGGCCCTGTCAGCACAACTGAAGCAGCTGAGAACCATCAGCTGGATGTGACAGGAGGTGCAGCGTTGTCCCAGGGGACACAGAGCGCCAGGCTGTCTTGGTGCTCTGTCATCTGGACGGCGTGGGTGCGGAGCAAGCCCGGGTTCCCTGGCCTCTGCCCCCAGTGTCACCTCTGCGGCTCTGAGGAAGCAATTACGACGCGTCTGTGGAGCTGAGCACAGACCACACAGCAGGACACCCAGGTGACGGGGAAGGGCCGGTTTGCCCGGCGTCACACTCCACCAACCTGGGCGTCTCCAGACCCTGGTCGGAGGGCACTGCTGGCCATTCCACTAGCTGCACTTGGCCCCCAGCAGTGAGCACAGGGCCTTGGGGCTCAAACATAGCTGCCCCCCACCTGCAAGCAACCCCCAGGCCCTGGAGGTGACCTGTGGCCGGTAGCTGGGGAGAGGAGCTCCATATGCCCCCAGAGAAAAACAAGTCCAGTCTGTGCCTTCTGCTTGGAAAGGAAACACCAACACAGAAAACTGGGTTTGCAGAGGAGCAGAGCCTCTCTGCCCCAACAGACCAGCCATCGTGCCGAGCGGGCTCTGGGACAGACAGGCTGCCTTGCGGGACCGGCGCGGGACAGGAGGTCTGGGCAAGTGCTACTCCCATCCCCCCACTTTTCCCTCCAAGCTGGGGCCCCAGCAGGAGCATCACTCCTCTCGGGGACTAACCCGCATCCCACTGAGGTGACGATCACCACCACCACCACAGCTCCCGAGGCCTGCGGTGCTGACAGCCTGGGAGAGATGCCTTCTCAGGGAAGAGCTGAAGATAAGCAGGGGTGACCTTGCCAGAAAGCCGCCCACCAAGGGCTGGCAATGGGTCTGAACAGCATCTGGCCCGCAGCCAGGTCAGGCCCCACCACCTCCCCAAGTGCCGGGCTCTCTGTTCACTGCACCCTCCAGAGCAGGCCTCTCCCCTCTTTGGCAAGAGAACAACCTCTGATTTGGAAAGTCATACAAGGCCTCACCTGCCTGCTCTCAGATGCCAGGGTGCTGCCATCCGCAAGGACTAAAGGCAATGCCAACCCAAAGGATTACAAACCATAATGGACACAGGTCAGCAGATAACTGAGAGCCCCACGCAAAGCTGACATCTGCAGGTGGCAGGCCTGCCTGGCTGCCTGGCCTGTCTGCCCTGGTGTCCACCAGACAGCGCACGGGGCTGGGGGGTAGCCGAGACACAGTGAAGACAGGAATCCTCACCAGAAGACGGCAGGCCTACCACTCACCTGCCTTCTGCTCCGAGGGTCCAGCACCCTGACACCCGGATGCCAGGGTAAGCTGGGGGGCTGCTCATGGCCAGGACACGAGGGAGACCGGGATGGGAGGATGACCCCAGTTCTGTGCAGGGATGTCGCTGCACTGCCTCTTAGGCTCCCAGCAGTCCCCCAGGACAGCTCAGGAGCCCCTTGAACTGCCTCTCCATGGGTGGGCAACACAACCAGTGAAGAGCTGCAGTGAGGTCCGAGCCCTGGCTGGCAGAGGCTGCCCACTGGGAGTCGGGGGGCCAACAGGTGAGAGGCCCCAGGAGAAGCAACAGCACTCACCACCAGCCTCAGGGGCCGAGGCCACAGGCATAAGAGGATCACCAGCTTGGGGCTGTGCACTGGCCTGATATTAATAGCACTGACCCTGCCGAGGAGAACAGCCAGGCAGACTCAGGCCAGCATCGGGGTGAGCTGCCCCTCCTGCGCTCAGGCTGGCATGCTGCCCGGCCAGGGCTGGCTGAGGAACCCCATCCGGAACACTCTGGAGAAAGTCCCAGACCCCACCTCCCAGGGGCTGCAGGGCCCACGGCCCCCAACCCCAAAACAGGGAAAGCAAAGGTGTCTTTAGCCTGAGCTATCAGCACGGAGCTGAGCTGAGCGCCCCACCCCTGCCCCAGGTGCCTCCTGAAAGCATAAACAACCTGAAACTCTACCCCCCTGAGGCCTCCTCCAAGAATAACTGCCCGCCCCTCCCCCTGCAGGAAGGCTCCAGCACATCCCTCAAGGCCACTATCAGTGCTCAGTGCTTAACTAGGGTCACAGCCACGCCCCAGTCCAGCAGCAGGAGGAAGAGCAGGCCCTCTGGTGTGTGGCTGCAGTATTCACTCACATCTCAGGTCCCCAGCCTCCTCCCTGTGATTAATCCAGTCCATACACCAGTTTTACTCTGCTTCATGGCTCAGAGGAAGCCCCTTCTGTGCACCACCTTGGGGTAACAGGTCTGCCCCCACCCACCTGGAGCTGCTCCCTCCGGCCCCCACCCTACCCGCCCTGCTCAGTCTCAGGGCTGCGGAGGAGGCCCTGAGCCCCAACCTGCTTTAGGAGAGTTTCCTGGGCGAGTGAGTAAAAGGAAGTCAGAGGAGGCGGGAGTAGCTGGCCCACTGGGGCCTGGTCTGGGGGTAGGTGGCCCAGACAAGCTCAGGAACAGAAGTCAGGGCAGACAGAACTGGGGCAGGGGGGATGCAGTCCTGAAGGGGTGCAGTAGGCTCCAGGGACTTGCAGTTGCCCACCCCACCCACTGGGAATCCCCCTACAGGACCCCCTCCTTCCCGCTGCTTTGAGCAAGTAGGCCAGCTTCTTTCCACTAGCCCAGTGGCAGCCTCCAGACCTGTGTCCACCTGGACCCCACCAGGAGAGAGCCCAAAGGGTGCTCACTCATCCACCAGCACCTCTAGTACAAAGGGAAAGTCGGTCCCTTCCGGAAGGCCAGGCGCACAAGAAGCCTTCATGCAGACTGCAGAAGGCAAAGTGGACCAGAGGTCAGGCGAGAGCCTCAGTGCGGAGGCACCTGCACAGACACCCAGACAAGGAAGGGAGGCAGCTCTGGTACCTTCACCGTGGGGTTGGGGGGCGGGGGGTGTACAGGGGCTGCTTGGGGAGGGGATCACGTACTTGAGGAATATCCCATAGAAGGCAGGGTGTAATGAGAAATTCCCCCAGATGTCCAGAAGCTCCAGGGCCACTCCATGGGGCTCTGTGGGAGAATGTGCTGGTCTCTGCTTACTGCCCACGGGCCCTGGCTCCCCCTGCTGTCCCCCCGGAACCACGCTCTTAGGAAGAAGACCACTGTCACCCTGGCCCTGCTGGGGCACCTAGGTCCACTACTCAGTCTGTGCACCAGGCAGGGCCGCCAGCCGCTGCCAAACGATGTCTGCAGAGGGCGCTCTTCTCAAGAGCTTATCTGGTCTCCAACACATCAGATTCTCTGGAACTAACAAGTGTCACAGATTCAGATCCCTCCTCTTCCACCCTGTCTTCCGAGCCAGGATCTCAATCACTGCTCACCAGGAGGCCGTGAGCCTGGAGGGACACCAGAGGCTCCTTCAGGCGCAGGGGGCCTGAGACCCTCTCCCTTCTTGCCCAGCAGCTCTGCTGGCAGTGACCAGTCCTGAGCAGTCCAAGCCATGGCACTTTGGCACTTTCCAGACAGACCGCCAGGCTAAAAAGTTTTTCTTTGGACCCAGCCTGTGGCCAGCGCTGGGTCAGGCGGGGAGAGGTGGGTGGGGCGGTGTTCAGACCCGGAAATGAAGAGCCAGCCCTCCCGTGAGCACTGCTCTGCCTTCTGGGTCCGGGCCCCAGAGGCTGTGAGCGGGGGCTGCCTCCCCAGCCATAACGTCCCCACCTGCAAAGTCCCCAGAGCCGCGACCGTCCGGGTGCCTAGGCGGAAACTGAAAGGCACCGTGCCCTGCACCACCCAGCATCACGACCTCTGGCCTCAGCTGGGAGGCCGACTCTGTACGGGTCCCAGAACGAACTGACCACCTGGGAGCATCCGGCGGGCTAATAGTTCAGCCCGGTGCTCGTAGGCCCGGCGCCGCATCGGCTCGGGACAGAACGAGCCCGCACATGGGCCCTGCCCGCGGCAGTCCGCGAGGGCCCTCCCCCGCCAGGCCACGGGGACTGTTGGCTGGTCCAGGCCCGGATCCCTGGGCCGCTCCTCCCACGGAACACGAGGGGCGCGCCGCGCCTACCGGTCCTCGCACGTGGTCTCGTTCTTCCCCTCCGGCCGGTCTGGCCCATCTCCAGCCGCGAGGGGCGGCGGCACGGGTCGGGGGGCGTCGGCTGAGGCCGGGGGCGCAGCCATGAGCTCGGGGGCCTCTCCGCGGGCGGGGTGGGGCGGGGCTTGGGGGGCGGGGCTTGGGGGACGGCCGCTCAGGATGTCGGGAGCTATGGTTCAAGGCCTGGCGCCGCGCGCCCTCCAGCGCGCTCCGCGGACTACAAGTCCCACCAGGCCGCGCGCGCCCCGCAAACTACACGCCTCACTAGGCCTTGCGGCGGGTGTGCAGGTAAGGACACCAGCCCACGCTTTACCACAAACTCGGCTGCACAAAACCGCTGGAAAAAAATCAATAAACATTTATTTGATACAGTCATTTTTAATACATACAGTTGATGGCCCGCCCCAAGCCACTCCTGGGACCTGGGCGGGGACGAGGACCAGGGACAGATGGTCACAAGGCGGGCAGGGCCCGAGCTCACTGTCAAAAACATCTTGCAAATAAACACTTTGTAGATAGAATATATATGTATATATATGGTTACAAGTGATAGCTGGAACCTCTCTCTCAAAATGCACTTAATACGGAGAACTGGCATTAAAAAACCCAAACCAAGAAACCCAAAGTACAGGCAGGAGGTGCTGGCTCCCCCAGATCCCCAGGTCTTCAGGACAGCTGCCTGGGACCCACGGAGGACAACACACAGGGATGGCCCTCCCCTCTGTGGGTCAGGGTGCACCCATTCTTTCCCTTCCAAACCAGAGGGACAGGAGGGGGCTATGGCCGGGAGGGCCATCAGTCACACCAGGGGACACTCATCTGCCCTTGCATGAGCAAAAAAAAGTGCATCCTATTTTGTGTGAAGTTTCGGTCCCTTGAGTCAACTCTTTCCTGTTCTCAGGGCAAGGGGGGTGGGCTGGGCCAGAGGTAGATCTTTAGAAAGGGACCTGGCATTGTGTGCCCTGGGCCTGGGGTCTCAGGCAGGGTCCATGCCCACCACACGGAGGGGGTTGTTTGCCACTGGGTCCTTCTCACTGAAGGTGTCAATCAAGGCTAGGTGACTACCTGGCTGCACTCCCACCAGAATGGGACATGGACAGATTCCACCAAGCCACCAAGGGCTCAACTGCAGTGGGAGGAGGGCTCTACAGACCAGCTTGTCACTGCCACCCACCAGCCAGAGCATGGATGAGCGGGGAGGGGAAGAGGAGAAAGGGGGTCCCCACCCAGCAGTCCCCACACCTTAAAGACAAAGAAGGGGGTTAAAGTGCTAAACATCAAGTTACCCAGGACCCCACTTCTTCCCACACGTCCGGTGAGGTTCCCACATCAGAGATCACACGTGGACGGCAGGGGTGACAGTGAAACTCATCCCCCAACCAAAACCAGCCCCCCCTCCCCAAGGGCCAAGTACCTGAGAGGCCGGCCAGGCGGCCATCCCCTGCGAAGGTGCTGAGGTCCAACCTCCTCCCATCGATGACAAGGACAAAGTGCAGGTGGGGCCCCACCAGTGCCTATTTCCTGGCACCCTCCCACAGCTGCCCCTCCAGTGGCTGCCCACCCACCTCTACCTCCACCAGCCATACACCAGCGACACACAGGAATACAGGAAGGAAAGCCCTCCTGCCTGAAGCTGTACTGCCTGCCTCAATGTTTGATGCTGGATTTCCTGCCCCTGTCCAGGCCTCTACCTGCCGATCAGATCAGGTGCGTGTGAGTAGGGGGAGTCCACATTTCCACATCCCCTCCCTAGCACACAGGCCAGGACTGCCCAGGGTCAGAGCACTCCGGCCAAGCGAAGAAGCTAGAGACAGGCAGTATAGCGCCTTGGCCCCCAAGCCTCCTGGCAGCCATCTCCCTGGTGCAGGGTGAGGACAGCTGAGCCCACACTGGACCCTCCTCTCCAGGGGTGGGATGGGGACAGGAGCCTGGGGGCAGGCATGCCCAGTTAGCACTGCCTCCCTGAGCAGGGGAGGGACCCCAGCCCAGCCCCCAGATCCACTGTCGGCACCAGGAAACCCTTAGCACCAAAATGTTAGATTGTGGTGAGTTTTTGTATAAAAAACAGAATTAAAAAAAAGGTTTGTTACTTGTCACAGCAACGAGACTGGCATCCACTACACCCAGGAGACACACGCACACAAGCAAATATCAAAATTCACATCATCCAGGATCGGCAAGGCCAAGCCCTCAGCCCACCCCCACCCCCCAGTAGAAAACAGCCTCCGTCCAAACCTACAGCTCTGAAACCCTCCCTGCCCCAGCAATGCCATGGCAGGAAGGTTTGGCTGCATCCTCAGTGCCCTGGACTCCACGTGACCCAACCTACAGACCTCGCTGTCTTCAGGGCACTGAAGGGAGCCAAGACAGAGCCCTGGCGCTGCCACCAACTTATGTGACCTCAGCCAAGTTCCCCCCTGGCCTTCAGCTCTCACATCAAAAGGCCACACAACCAGAAATGAAGGAGCAGGTAAAAAAGGAGGGAGGCTCCCACGGGAGCTTGGCCATGGGTCAACCCAGGCCAGCAGACAGGCTGCTTCCCACAGTGGTCACTACTTAAGCCAGGCCCCAGGTCCCCACTCCACAGGCCTGTGGGCCCCAGGTGACCCTGGAACCCAGCCTGGCCCTCCCTAAATCCATTGGGCTATGTGATCTAGGCCAGTAGCATTAGCGAAGCTGGAGGCTGAGGCCAGAGCTAGCATCACACAGCCCTTCAGCCCTGTTCAGCAGTTCTGCGATGGCAGAAGAGCCTCTGCTGGCCTCAAGCAGGGAGCACTACTAGAGACAGTGGAGCAAGACAGCCTCCCCCATCATGATGGACACAGGCCGGGGGGACAGGGGCCTGAGCACAGCAGGGGTTGCACAGCAAGGGAGGGTGGGCCTAGAGAGGTAGAGCGCAGAAGTGCAGGAACCAGAAGGCAGCGGGGCAGGGGTGGGGTGGGCCATCAGGTCAGCACGGTAGTTGTCGGACTTGGGGTCTGTCCTGGGAGGTAGCTGGGGGTGCTGGGGTTCCAGTGTCGGGTCAAGAGGCGAGGCCGCTCAGGTATCCTCATCAGCCCAGAACAACGGGCTACCCAGGGACCTCCTGAGCCTTGGGCTCAAAGCAGATGGGGCATGGAACTCATGTGCCAAGGGCCAGAAGGCCATCTGCCTACTCCACAGTGCCCGGCACCTGAAGCCCAGGCTATAGCCCTTCCCCCACCGCCCGTGATGGTCCCCCCAGACTATTGCACTCCCCAGCTGCCCAGCCCTCCCAGGGGCCCAAGCCCAGGGCATCCTGCGGCAGCCTGCATGGGAAGAGGCTGCCTTCAGGGAGGAGAGGGCTGCCCACCGCTGCTGGACAGACAAACAGGTGGGGTAGGGGTGGAGACCTGGAGGAAAGGAGGCTCTGGTGCCCCACCCCGGACACAGGGGCCGGGCCAGTGTGGGGACGGGCCCCACCCACCTGCCAGGCTCCAAGCTCACTTCTCGGGTGCCTTGCCGGCTCCCACCTTCCGGCCAGTGGAGCCCCGGGCCCCCTTGTCTCTGCCTGCTGGGGGCCAGTCGTCCTGGCGGGGAGGTGTCCCAGGGGCTGGCTCCTCAGAGGGCCGCTCTTTGGGCTTGCGGCCCCGCTTCTTCCCGCCGGCTGGACTCTTCTCTTTCCTGGGCACCGGGGAGTCCATGCCCTTGTGTCTGGGAGGTGGGTCTGCCGAAGTGCGGAACCAGTTCTGAGGAAAGAAGCAGCAGTGGAGACCCTGGGGTCTGGGATGCTGGAAGGCAGAACAGAGGGGCCCTAGGGTCTCGGCCACCCAAGTTTCCAGGGAAGCCACACTGAAGAGAAAC